ATCATCGATGTAGCATATCTGTACCACTGTTGCGGTGAGTATTAGATGGACGGGCTGCGATAGAGCTGCGAAAAGCGGTCTTAACACCCGAGAGTGAAAAGTTATGATTTACCTATATTACAGGATATTTACAAGTGGAACAGTTAGGCCAAGGTGACTAATTTAAATATTACGAGTTCATCATACTTAATGATGGCATCATCACATGGTTGCCCCCAGCATCGACTGCTTTTGGAAACCTATCCAATATTTTGGCTGAGAAAGAAGTAATTCCGCCTGTACCTTGCCTCAATCAGGGCAGTGCAGTTGTATGACAAGGTAGCCGTAGTTGTAACGAAGAACAAAGAAAGGCAAGTGAACTGCACACAACAACGTTAGCTTCGATGTATAATGAGCGTAAATTGCAAAACCGTGGGCACAGACGACTTCAACAGGTGCCAAGATTAAGAACAGGACGTTGCCTCTGTTAGACAGCCCGGCTGAACATAAACCATTTGCTTCAGCCCGTGAAATTCTCGTGTGGCAGCCAAAATATCGTTAACGCCAACAAAGTGACCAGAATGCAACAACAGCAACAGCATAGGGTCAGGTCTGCTTTTGGAGATGAGCTGTTCCTTCTACGCTGCAGTATCCTGTGCCTAATAGCAAAAGGGTCGAGAAGAGCCGCGAATACAGCTGACATTACAATTAAATATGTTCTGGTTACGCAAACGGCTGAAGCCTATGGTCTCAACAAAATATATGCGTAGCACATATGACAACTCATTTGCAAACTGTTCATATCTAATTTGACAAGGATGGTGTCTAACGATAGCGTGTTAGAAGGTTGAACGAAAGCTAATTTATCGCATCCAATCAGTCTTCGACGTCCGAAAAAACGGCACGTGATCTGACATGAAACTAATATACTAATATACCATACCACCTTACAAGATAAACTCGAAAACTGAACATCGCTTATTTATGCGGGACATGCGATCCACGATCTTTATGATTCTTACAGGATCGCTCTGCATACAGACTTTATTTCTAAAAATGGGAACCGGCGCTTGGAGCCAAACTTGATTTGTTGCGTATGTAAAATAAAAACAAGTCAGGAAAAGACTGTATGAGTCAAATTTATGAATACGTGTGGCCAAGCACATTAATGCTGATATCCCTTTCAATTAACGGATGACTTTCAGGTCTACAACAACACAAATAGTACTAATGATTTCTAATAATAACTTCTGCCTTTTCCGCCCACGCCTTCTTGAAGCCCCTTATGATCTTCGAAGCCGCTTTATAAGGTGTTGTATAATGCCAAATATCACATATGCTTCTCCAGTTCTATTTTGCAACATTAACAGGAGGTGATGTTTCAATCCAGCGGCGATGTATCAGCGCAATCGCAAGATCTGGAAGACTGCATAACAGTTTTGTGGCCAAGACCACTTTGTAAACTATTAACGAAAGTTCGATCTTTTTCACTGAACGGATACTGTGAAGTACCACCGACCTCACATAATTTTAACAGCTTATTGCTACCAGAGTTCTACTGCACAAGGAAACTTCATCATCAAGAAAATAAGAACTCAGCTGCCCAGAAAACCAATGATATCATATTTAATACGTATCCACCTGGCTCAACGGATAATCTTTTGTTTTCAATAGATATTACGTAACTGTTTTTTATTACTGTTGTAGGTTATACACATGCGGGCGCTGAAAGCAGAAAGTACTGCATAATACTTCACCTTCAAATAAGAATCCGAGCGGATAAAGCACCATCCAAGCGGTGTAACGCAGCCATTTGAGAGGAAAATTATGCTTCTTCATGGTAACCATGATGTAATACGGATACCTGAAAAATAATAATATATGTGAAACGCGCAGAAACATCTACAGCGAGCACCCACCTGATGATTTCAAACGCTGACCATACGAAGAACAAACAAAAGACGAACGGACGATCCTGCAATTTTGGCTCACTGGCTAGAATCAGAAGCAGCACGATATTCCTGCCTAACACCTAAATTTTGTTCGTAACAAGTGAAAGGCTAAATGATAAGTGAAAAAGTAAAAATATCTCATTTATGAGAAAGAAAATTGCCGTAACTGACTGATTCAGGACAAATGTGGCTATAAATGTCGGATATAAATATTTGAAAAAATTCGAAATTCAATTTTAGAAATATGAGTGATCATACTAGAACTAGACATTCGAAAAGGGACGAACAGACAATGAAAACGAGTTCTAAAAGAAAGATTAGGCCCAATATCGTGCACAGCTGCACACCGTCTAAGAAACTTATCGTTGAGAAGAAACCTTAATAGCGAATGATATCACACAGCACCAATCACTGAGAACTAGGGACAAGAACCTGCTTTAAATGAACTCGCAAAGCAGAACCGCCGAATACTGTACATGAATTTTTTACAAATGGTAAGCGGTACAGTGCTTTGCAATGCATTTTCAACACATAGGACAGCCATTCCCCTTCCTTCGTTAGACTTAACCGTTAAAATATCCGTCTCTCGGACGTTTACAATAAATTAATATCCGTTTACACCAATACTATTGCAAAGAATGACTGGCAGAAATCACTATGCCCAGTTACACTGTCATGTTACATCTCGTTGTTTCCAAATTACCAAGAGTCAATTTAAGATGGTGAATCTCCATGGCTTATGAGCCCTTTCGATGCATGGAAGCAATACTTAAGGTCTCAGATGAACGAAACCTAGGCGCGTTGTGAACCAACGAGTGGTTCATTCTAGCAAAATACAAACCATAAAACGATTAAAGAGATCTGATATCCACTTAAAAACACTAGCTTCTTGATCGAAAGATCAACATGGCTACCGGAAAAATGAAACAGCAAGCATTACACAGTGGTCCCACTGGCTTACCGTACCCTATCTGTCCAATTTTTGAGAACCTACTAATGTGTACATAATTATTAATCACGCATAAAGCAGAAGCGCACCTGTAACGAAGTGGCAAACCAAGAAGATCTGACGTAGCCAAGAAGAGCGTGGCCTATTTCAAGGAACTGGCCAAGCTGACAGCATATCATACAAAAGCCAACATCCCGCCATACCTCCGGAAGAAAGTCTATAATTTCAAATACGACACAAACCTTTAAGTCCAAGTTTAACGAACAAGAACGCTGGCCTCACAAATAACAAACCGCTAAGAGTTATAACTGCAGAAAAATTCAAAAGGCATTAAATTAGTCAATGTCATAATAAATCATTAAAATTCATGGTCTCTCAGGTCACATAGGAGCTTAAAAGTTTGGAAGGTGGCATCCTCGCTACCCAAGATTCCGTGGTAATAAACATTAAAGAAATGTTTATATCTACAGACGCCACGCTTTGCCAATGAAATGGTAGGCTATCCAGTGAACAAAGGAAAAATTATATTGTTTAAAGCGCGAGAATACTATAGCCTGAGCTTATAAAATCCTGGCATAAGGACGACCCTGAACCGTATCATTGATAGAAACCGTTCAGGTTTTCGACTTAAGACCCAATTTTTCCCTCATTGCACTGGGTGCAGCATAATAAATTCCTTGTTCGATGCAACTGATTAATGATTAAGACCTATTTACCTACATCTACATTCATAACCAAATTCATCACGCAAGGTATAAAACATACACATTTTAAACACTATTCCATGAAGTAACACAGAGCTCAAAAGAGTACTGTAAAAGAAACATCGTTCATGATAAGCGCAATATGATTCCAGCGAACAAAACGATGGGAGATGCATCTTGCACTACTGATGCTCAAATACCATGGAAAGGGCCTGCATAAGTGTCGTTGGACTACTAGGAGCAACGGAATGGTGCAGTATGCCGTGAAACCTGGTATTGTGGAATTGTGATGTGCACTATGTAATATATAAAAATATAGCATAATGCAAAATATAAGTAATAATAGTTTTATTTCATAAGCAACATTAAATATGCACTGAAACTTCATGCGAGAGCGGGTTATAATTTTCGAGATGTCACAAACGAGTGAGCAATTCATATATAAGTTACATATAATAAATTATAAAGCACTTATAACATAAATCATAATATGAAACAATTATCGCGAACGGAAGAACAACGCAAAAGATTTACCTGAATACATATCTTAATTGTACCACAAACCGACGTTCCTTCTAAATGTATGCAAGTAAATCTTTAAAGCACTGTTCTTCCGTTAACGAACTTCCAAAAATATTATCTCCTGCATAAAGAACTCGCATGCTATATT